GGTTTGTCTGTGATAGTATATGGGGTCTATGTATCCTTATTGTTGGCAGAACGAATCCCAGCACCGCAGCTATAACCAATTTCTGCGGCGTTATGTTCTGTCCAAATTTGAAGCCTTTAAGTACAGCATCTGCAGAAAAACGCTTGCCAGAGAGTTTTTGCTTCAGCGTGTACATGCTTCTCCCAGCTTTGATGAAGCCTTTCCTTTGCTCTGACTGCTAGTTCATTACTGTAATTGCAGTAGATATAGAGCAGTCTAAATGCATTGCGATAAACCATCACACTAACTGTGAAAACTGCTTAACAGTTGCATGCCTTAAGCTAGCATTAGTGGCTCAGGATGCAGAAAGTTTTCTCGACAAATTTTGCTAATTTGAAAGGGATTTTAGACAACTTTAATTAGTCATAACTAAACTCAAGTCAAACAAATTTTTAATTAATTTAAACTTCACTTTTTACAATGTCGCGACCCAGTCTCGGAAAAGAATAGGGGAAAAGGTGTATGTATCTAACTAACAATAACAAGGCATTTAAAATCAACTGTTGGTTTTGAATGTCTTATTGTTGATGGATTAAAGTGGAGCTTTTTCATGTAGATTTGATACTGACAGAATACAGATCATCTTCCTAAAAATTCTCGATCTAGGGTTACGACACCGTCATCGGAACAGGTGGGATCGCTCTGTCGGGAGGACAAAAACAACGTTTGGCTATTGCTAGAGCTATAGCAAGTGAACCAAAAATTTTGCTTCTCGATGAAGCAACTAGTGCATTGGACTCTGAAAGTGAAAAGATAGTACAGGTGATGTTTCCATTTCCTCAATTTTAGCGTTCTACCAATAGCTTATTTCTCTCATTCTACAGTTGGCTCTAAACCGAGCATCAGTGGGAAGGACAACTGTTGTGATAGCACATCGCCTGAGCACTTTAAAGGATGTTCAACGAATTTATGCGATAGAGGATGGTCGAGTCGTAGAAGTAGGTTAGCGACATTATGCTGGAGAGATTTCTCACATTTGTTCAATCTTTAAATCTTATGTTTAAAATCACTCATTTCAGGGACGCATTTTGAGCTTCTGGATAAAGGCGGGCTCTACAGTAATCTAGCACGAGCACAAGAAGTTGGTATTGGTGTAGATAAGAAGAGAAGGAAAACATCGGAAAGCATTGATATTCATATGCAGTAATGGATTAAATTTTTCTTATCTACCGATATAAAGTAAACTTGTGTTTTAAAGCGCTAATGTGCCAATGGTGCGCCACGACTTAAGAGGAAGCGGAATGACTCGCCGATCAGTTTCATCAATTGCATCACAGCCAATCGAATATCTCAAGAAAAATACCCAGACTCTTAAGGTAATCTTATAAAATTATATAGAATAATTTAGGTAATTTATGTAAATCATATTCAGGCAAAGAGAGGAGGTGGAATTTTCCGCATTTATCTTTCAAGTTTACGTTCCCGTCC